AGGGTGTGTCCAAATCCACTTTTGCTAGTTTAACGACGGGAAAAATGGTCGGCGTGCATGGTCTAAAAGGGTTGTCCCTATTCTCTTAATGAGTAATGGGCGTGTTTTGGGCATAACGTTCAATAAGCCAATCAGAGTCTCATCTCCCATTCCCTTTAAGAGCCAGTTGCGCTCGTGCCATGGCGGATTTGCTATTTACACGGCGGAATTTGCAAGCGCAAAGACAGAACGCATCTCCAGAGATGAAACGGAGCTGCTCATGCGCGAGCAAATAGGTAGCCTAATTCTGATACATGCAATGACTATCCATTATGACATGTAGGAATTTTTATATTTATGTAGCCTACACAATAGGGCTGTAAAAATGACTGAAAAACTAAATTCGAATTTTACACTTAAATATTATCAAAATTCGAATTATATTCTAATTTAAAAGACATAATTTCAGTTAGGGGGAAAAAAAGCTTTTTGGCTTCTCTCCTGAGGCCACAATAGGGCGCATCGAGCAAAATATTACTAATGCACGTTTCTTCAAAGCGTAATAAAATAACACGACTATCTTTGAAAAAAAGTGCATAATGTTTAAAATTATGTTTATAAACCATATATAATTAATAAAGTTGCTTAAACAATTAGAAAAAAAACAGCACCATGCATGTATGTATAGTTTAATACAAAGGACCGAAAACCAATCACAAAGAAACGCGCCAACAATGCGCCTGAACACACCTCGTTTTCATACCAGCACGCCCATGGGCGCAAATGCATTTGCTATTTAAACAACGTGGCACAGGACGTGGAAATGACAACTGCGTCGGGCTGAAACTAGCAAAAAACACTTGCGTCGCGCCTGGCGCCGCATTGCGCCGAGTGTGTGATAGGGCCCGAAGTGTTAACAGGTTTGGAACAACATGAGGATGAGTAATTAATGACAGAATTTTCATTTTTGGGTAAACTATCCCTTTAAATCTGATAGTAGCATATAAAAAACGTACATTATAAGTTGACTTCAGGAGGGGAAATGTAATATTACAAAGGTGTAGAATATGACCCCTTTAAACGAAGGCAGAAAAGTATGTACTTTCCAAACAATATAACTGGCCCAATTTTAAGAGGAAAATATAATTTTCTTAGCAGAGAAATAATCAAAACAAAATCTTTTAGAACATATAATGTGTCTCTGTGTGTGTGTGTGTGTGTGTGTGTGTCAGAAACAGTCAGTGTAATCAGCCATACAGCAGAATGAACAATGCAGGGCCTGCAGTCAAACACATCTGTATCATTAAAGCTGTGAATGTTAGCCGAACACAACATCTGGATTACACAATGCAATCACAACCCACGTGACCACACAACACGTGAAGATGCAAACAAGAAATGCAAATGCAAATATTATACTCTCCTGCATATGAAATAATATACACATACAGCAGGGTTTCATGCACAATCAAGCTTTCTAATAAAACAACATAATAATTAAGGCAGGCAGGTAAGATATTGCACACTAATGATGCTCCCTACGGTGCTGATGAACAGTAACTGCATCATGATTTCAGCCCAGACTGCTTTAAGTAATGTGATTTCAGATGTGCTAGTGTTGTCAGATAAACCGATCTTTGTACCTACGTCTCAATGCGTGACAGACTAAATGAATAAGCTTTTATATTTGATATGGTATAATACCAAAAAGCTTACTTGGATCAGATTTTGAGAAGGTGTCTCTGTCCAAGAGGTTTCTGTAGATAAAAAAAGAAATGAAGAAATAGAAGTTAATAAAGACCCCTTTAAAAAGCTGTCTGAATCAGGAGAGAAATCTGCACAGATCAAGCACCGTTTACAAGCCAAAACAGCTCTAAACAAATATGTGGGTGGATTTTGATGTGATGGGATAACTGGGGATGGACTTTTTCAACAGTTTAAAGTTTATGGTTTAAAACGTCATAATTGTGGATGTGTATTTTAAGAAACACACAGCTTTTGGTGGGGATATCTCAGTGGTTTTAATTCCACATCTGTTAAATGGTGTGTTCAGCCATTATGAACATTCAGGTAAGTCAGGGTATTGCCAACTACCCCAAGATGCAATATACATCATTGTGATTCAATGCATCGCAATGCATCACAGTGTCATAATTGATTCGTGATTGAAACTGCTCCAAGCGCACGAGAGAGACTAAGCGTCTCAGGAGATAAGAGTGAATCTGTGATATCACTTTCAATCTCTCTTGCAGGGATCACTTTGTACCGTGTCTCACAGAAGCACTGACTGAGAGATTTCGTTTTCAGAGATTAGTCTTATTTAGATGAGTTCTTTATTAATGGAACTGCAGGAAATATGAAATGAATGAACAAAAATGAATACAATAAATGAATGAATGCAATAAATAAATACAAATAGCAACAGAGTGCCTGAAGAATCAATGTAACATTGTGAGAAAAATAAATGTAATATTGCTCTGTCAGGCCAGTATCAAGGTGGTGAATCACTGAAGGAAATCTCACTGAGCTCTTCTGATTGTGCAAAGGGAAGTGGATCATTACATCAATAACAGTAAAACCTCAATAAGTAAAAAAAAAAAAAAAAAAAAACACAATTATTATTGTTACTTTACTTTTTTAAATGTTTATTTGCTCATATCCAGTTGGACATTTTAAGGTAGGTTTCTGGATATTATAAAATGAGGTAAAATGGGG